ATATCACTATTACCACTTTTTAAAAGTGAAATACAACTTTTCATGCATAGGTTTAAAATACCAATGTACTATGTATGCAAATATAAAAGTTTAGGTGTTAGATATGTAAATACATAAGAATTATGTGCTACATATGTAAATTTCACTAATTTTAACTGTAAAAGAAACAAAATAGTTTACATAATTAAAATTCTACTATATGCTCTATTATACTTTAAAGTGACACCTTCCCACATCAGATTTATATAGAACTTACCACAGGCGTAACTTAATATATTCTCTAACATATATCAAATACATCAGCTGTGTTCACTGAAAGCAGAAGAAAAACTTTATTTATTTATTTTGTTCTGCAATAAATTTGTTCATAAGGTCAGATTAATCATAGAGACTTGTGAGAAATCCACCTTTCAAACATAACGAAGCATTGCAAAGGCATATTATTTGGAGCTGTATGACTTCCACCCTGCAACCAGATGAGTAAATTGCAGAAATTGTTAGCGCACAGAAACAACGCCTGTTTTATGCAGATATTATCAAAGAAATATTACATCACCTTCACAGTTGCAAATGTCAGATTGTTTGAGAACAGTATTGTATACCTGTTGAGCAAGTTAATTAATGTTAAGACACGAAGAATGTGGAATACAGTCCTTCATACTGATTCAAACCATATTTTGTGTCCTTAATAACATGCTATATATTATAAGAAAATTACAGTAGATCGAAGACTGTTATCTTTGAGATGAAGGAAAAAACAATTTTATTATAATTTGTCATGAAAAATTTGTCATTTACATACATAATACCACCTAATTCCTATGTTTTTGCATACGTAACATCCAAACTTACTTTTTTTACATTTATATCATCCAAATCATTCATATCACATGAAAAAAATACCATGATATTGACTTTTAAAATGTGAAATACTTATATAAAGTGACATATGTAAAAACTGATGTTTAGGTGGTAGACATGCAAATACATAGGAATTGCGTGGTATGTATGCGAATCTTCCTTAAAACATTAAGCTTTTGTGTTGACCTATGTGTGTTTTGGGCTTAAATTGAGTCTGCAAATGATCCAATCTTCTACAGTAAATGTGCATTAAGACCAAAGAATGCTCACCCTGCAACTTGGCCGCCAGCACGCCATGATCGCCAATTTTCAACGATAGAGAAGTTGAGGGATCTTACCCACTTAAGTGTGCCAATAAATGGTATATCGAGATCATGATCCCCACTATTAGGTTCACAAGTACATAATAAAAGTTAGATGGATCCTTGCATGAAATAGTAAATTCTAAAATTTAAAAGATTGTTTCCTTAAGATATGCTTCGATCACCTATAAATCAGAGCTCGATATCCTCTTCTTATTAGGTTGAGATGATGAGGCACAGAAGTTGGTACGTTATATGTGTAATTATTTGAATCCTGCTTGCAACGATGCCATTCTTCGACAGTACCCTGCAAATGTTTAACATCATTGACATTGCATGTGGTTAGTGAAAATAGAGAAAATTATAGAGGGCGAGTGTTCTCTTAGCATACTAATTTGTTCTTTTACTGGAAAGAGACAATAGTTTCATATTTAAGAAAAACAATAATGTAGTTTAGTCTAGCCGTCCCAAGTGTTCTTCATGCAAAATAGCGACCAAAATAACTTAGTTGAGCATGATATATAACAACAATCACAAGAGTAATGCAACTTCAATAAAAGAATATGATAAAAAATGAATTAATATCATTAATATATTATTCTACTCTTTCTCTCTTTTGTTTGGTTAACTTCACGTTAACCTTCATATCTGCTCCGCTCTATAAAAAATGATAAATGTCAGGTGCAACATCATACTGCTCAATGACGATTCACCTAATGCAGCGAGAAAGCCACCCAAATGAGACCCAATTATAAATCAGACTATATCAATACATCCAAAGGGTTGAAATTACCCAAAAAAGATCTAACGTGTAAAAAGATCCAACATATTAAAAACAACGGACTACATGTACGATGACACAATATGTGATTTTTCTTATGGGCATTTATGTGCATAAAGCCTTCATTGTATGAATTTTCACCCATAAAACTTTTTTATCATGCCATCATTTTACAAAACAGACTATGCAATCGCGTCCAGGTCATCAAGACGATTCAAATGAGCTTATTCACGTTTGAATCGGGCTAATTCACTTGGTGTGCGTTAAAGAGCAAAATGTTTACATTATTTAAATATGAAAATATTAATATATATTTATCTATTTAAATATTAATATTAGTATATATTTATATTTAAGTATATATATGAAATAATTAATATACATTTAAATATTTACATTTTAATAATATATATTATTCAACTTTCAATTTCAAATTCTCTCTTCCATTTCCTTCTTGACCATCTCTATTGTCCCATCTACCTTCCTGACTATGTAGACCTGAGACCACGCTTACTTAGAATGACAAAACCATTAGATCTTGATCAGGTGCTTCATTATTTCCCCTACAATCCGCTCTTAATCTCACGATGATAACTTTATAAATTTTAAATTTTCAATATGGTGCTTTAATATACTAAGTATGAATAATTAGAGTCTAATGACTAGCCTTAATCAAAAGTGTCCCATTATTGAGAGGTGACCATACGAGCTTACGATGATAATTTCATAAATTTAAACTTTTAATATGGTGCTATAATATGCTAAGTCAAAATACTTAACGCCTGATGACTAGCTTTAATCAAAAGTGTCTCGCGTTCTCGGGAGGGATAATTAATCAGGGGTTTGCATCTATGGGAAACTTTGAACTCCAATGTTAAAATTCTCACAAAATGGGAGCAAAAATTTTTGGGGTAGTCTTGTCTACTATCTCATATGCCTTATGAATATGTGACCTGAAACCTCACAGTCAACTCCCTTATTTCGTATATTTCGTTTCTTCTCTTCAAGAGAGGCCAACATTTTTTGAATTTTGGAGCCCACACTTCACCATATTAAACTAGATGTTTATCCTATTTATTGGCCGGAGTAGCATTGCTCCGAAAGAAATCAACTAAAAAATACTCAATTTACCTCCTTGATATGAAGAGCCACTTTGGTGAGACGGTCATTCGACCAATAATACGAAAGAAGACGATCATTCTACAAAAAAAAAATATTTATACAGTTTCAATCATATTTTGCATGAATAAAAAAATAATTGTTTATGTAGAAATAAATGAATTGTCAAACTAATAAAAATGACTTAACTGCACAATCAATATCAGGTACATATAATGAAGGATAGAATTCAAAAAACTTCTCCTTAATTGACCTGTGGTTCCCTTTTTGTTCCTTCAGTTCAAAAGAGTCATCAGGACATTTAGGCTCCAATATGCTATATTTGTTGATCTCTGAAAGGAACTAAGAGAATGTGCATGACCACATGAGTTTAGGATCATCTATGTAATAAGAAAATCATATAAATATTTTCAAAATGAAGGCTACCTCATTCAATGTTTTGAGGTTTGTTGCACAATGAGTATTCTTAGGATTTCGATAGTCTTCCCCCACACAATTTATTTGTATCAGCTGAGAATGAAAGAAGTCAGTAACATTTTTTAAGTTTAACATATCTTTGTAATATAAAACCAATTTGGCTATTTACTCTGAAGTATAGCTAACCATAATAAAGTCACTTGACATGATAAAATATCATATAACTCTTCTATATTATATTTTACATGCAATTTTAGTTGTTTAAAACTTAAAATAACTCCTAATTGGGAAAAATGTGATAGAAAAAGACATTTCATCATTTAACAAATAAAAATAAAGTGCAAACCTAAACGCTTATCATATAAAGAAAATTATTTAAGAAGATTATTTTAGGCTTCATTAAAAGTGGAGGGCTAATTAGGTACTTTTATAGGCTTTAAGATTAAAATCACTCAATGGAGATGATCAAAGGGCTATTTTGATACTTTACTCGTCAAAAGGAGCACTTAATATCCATTTGCCCTTTTTATTCTTTCTTTTTTCATTTGTTATTGGCAATGCATCGAAGTTCACATACAATACAATACAATAAATAATGTTTGCAATCAAGGAAAAGAAAATATGAACCTTTAGTAGTTCATCCGAAATTATTCCCAATCCATAAGCATGAGGAGGTTGAGAACTGATGTCAATCCTGTCGCTTGTAACTGGGTTGCCAACTAAATAACCCTGAAGACATTACAAGCCATCAAACCATAGTCGCATAGAAAGCCTCGAACAGATTTGGGGGAGAAGTTACAAAATTTAAAAGATTTATAGTATTTATATTGTGAAAAGTTTAGGTTACTAAAATTGAATTGTTCTATTTTCTGAGCTTGGCATAGCTTATTTATTGTGAAAAAAATGCTATTTTTAAAGAAGTAAATAAAAACACGAGCTGAAAATTTATTCTGTAGCGATAACTAGCTGAAGGACATACCTTGAGATTAACAAAGGGTTGCCGAAAATTTTCATTGCCTGTGACCCATTACATAGAATTAATTAGCATTTCATTTATAAATTATGTAATCTGAATTTTTAAATAATTACCATCTGCAATCTCTAGAGCAGACAGAGGTGCCATTTTCCCTCCATATGAATCTCCAGCAACATAAAAAGGATTTGATTGAAAACTTGGATGATCAAGCAACCACTGCATATAAGAATTAACGACTACAAAAATGGTTATTACTGAAGACATTGCAATTATTAAAATCTGCATTAACCATACACCTTAAATTTGAGGTAAGCCCTTTCATTCCTTCTCACATTAAATTTCAGACATGAAGCATGCATGGAATTAAAATCGTCTCACCTTTATAAGAAACTTATAGATTTGTTTTGCAGATTTTACTTCATCTGTATGATAATCCACAATACTTGGTGAGAATGAGAATCCGGTCCCCACAGGCCAATCCAAAAAGATAATGCTGGAGATCTAATCATCCAAATGGTTTTATTATAGAAAATAATGATAAATGTCACGAATGTAAATAAAAAAAGTTAAGGCAGTTCTTAAGCACGTACTTGTGTCCATGAAAAAGGATTAGAAGTCAAAGTAGGCAACGTTCCATCATATGCTTTGACCATAAACCCGAGAGGACCTGCACATAATAAGCCTAAAGAAATTAATAAAATCTTACACTTGTAATATATATCGGAAGAAGGGGATGGGAACGAGTAAGTGTTTATGAATGATAAGCAGCAAGGCAATGGGAAGTCAATCTTGCTTATAAATTTCTTGATATCAAGATTTGCAAGCTCTAATAACAAATTTTGTAATTTACAAAAATTGATATCACTACCAACATTGTCGATGAAGATGAAGAAGAAGATAATTTGGAAATAAGATTTAAACAAACACACACACACACACACACACTATTATTTGATTCACAAGAGAAACAAGATCTAAACTATAGCAGAACAAATCATAAATCCAACCCACTTCTCTGCTGATCCAAACACCATAATTCTGATCCCCTCTCCCTCAACCAAGGAAAGAAAAACAAAAAGTACAAGATATCTATAGATCGACCTATGTATGTAAAGGCCTAAAAAAAACAAGAAAAGAAGAAGAAATGAAGGTATGCGCGCATACCGATCACAGTAAGGTCCTATGACAATAGTAATTAATGCTAGAAGAGAAATATAAGTACATACCACTCAATTCCTATGTATTTAAATATCTAATGTCTAAACTTCATTTTTTACATGTGTGCCCCTTATCTATGCGTGAAAAACAATTAAGTATAGTTGATCAAATTATCATGCTGTGTGTGTTCTAAATATCAAATTTCCATGAAATAAATTATAAGAAAATAAGAAAATGATCACCAACGTCCAAGGCCAAGCCAGAAAAACCAGAGCAATAAGGTCCACCAACAAGAAAAAGAATAAGTGGATCATCACTGGGATTCCTCTCAGACTCTACAAAGTAGTAGAAGAGTTCTGCCCCGCTCTCTTCATTCACTGTCACATAGCTTCAAACCGCGAGGAGATTTATTAGCAACAAATTTCAATCATTAGGTATGCAAATTTAAGTTAAGATCTCACCCTGTTTCAAGGTAGAAGGGAAGAGAGCCATTGAAACCTGGAAGATGAGTGATTCTGCTTGCATGCAACGCATTACAGTAATAAGGAAACAAACAGAAATTGCAGAAGAAGACTGATAGTATTTGCAGGAGGATGAAGGTAGTAGACATGGTTGAATGAGAAGCAGAGCCGAAATAAGATAGAAAAAGCAGGCTCCGTCACTACAAAAATGGTTAGAGAGAGAAGTTTACGATTAAAAAAAGGGAGAGACGGAAGTTTATGATTAAAAAAAAAATGGAGAAATATAGTCAAATTTCTCATTCGGATGAATACAAATATAGAAACACCACACCTTCTTCGGCTCAATTTTTTAAGAAATATTTTTCTTAATTTTTTTTTTTTTGAATAGCAGATTTCACAAATTAAAAAAATATATATATTTTTACGTCAAGAGAGCAGCTGCAACTCATTAATAAGCTGTTCTGCAATAGTTGTGACATGAAACTGCTGCATAGAAGCTCTTCTGGATAAAATTGTTGTTTAATTGTTTTTTACATTTTGAAAATAATTTTATTATAGCCGTTTCTGAATAAATTGTTCATAGTACAAAGTATAAATGTAAAAAAAAAAAAGAGTAGATTTAAAAATAAAAAAAATCTCAGAAGTATAAATACGTTCTTAAAATAATACTAAAATATTTATTTTGTTGGAACTCTAAATTATTTAAAAAATATACGAGAGGGCGTGCCGCTCTGCACAGTCCAACCAATATTTATATGCCAAGCACATAATTCATTCGTATGTATATACATATCTCGCACCTAAACTTTCCTATTTAGAAGAAAAAAATGTAAGGGAATTGTTCTTAAAAATAAATAAAAAGAAACGCAAGGAGAACCTCTCTAAATTAAACAAAACAAAGTTCTTTAAGAAAATTATAAAGAGAAAAGCTACAGGACCTAACCCCATATAAAGTATTCCACTATTAATGTACAATTACAAAGAGTGCCCACTTTTCTCACAACCCAGAGAATGTAGTTATAATTTCACATCAAATATAACATTTTTTCATATACGATTCATAAAATATTTCAAGAGTTAAGAGAAAGTTGTATGGTAAATCCGGCAGTTGTAAGTAATTGTCGCTGGGAGTTACAATCGAATCTTCAATATAATGTTATTGATTATACCGCATTCGATATTTGAAGTCCGTCATTACACTATATTTAAAATATGTCGTTGCACTGTATTTGGGACACATCATTACACTGTAAAGTCCGCCAAAGATGGTTAGCAGGGGCGGACGACGGTGGTCGATGATAGTCTGCGAGTGGTTATTGACAACAGCCAACGGGCGTTGGTCAATTGCAGCCGGCGGCCAGTTATCGATGGTGAAGCGGAAAATTTTCGCATTTGTTCAATTCTACTTTTTAACTATGTGATGAATTTTTATAAAATGCCAACCAAACAATCAGACTGAAATAAACAAATTATTTTTAGAATTCTATTTTAATTAATGATAATAATTTTTCATAAATTTATGTTTATTAAATAATACATTTTAAAATAAATAGTTTATAAGAAATTAATTTCAAATATAATTTTAAAAAAATAGCTTAAAATAGTATTTTTATAGTTTTTTATATTTAATACATAATATGTTTTGTTAATTTTTTATATTTCAAATATGTATATGTTCTAAAAAATTTTATAAAATAATATTACATTAGAAAATATTTTCGAAGTTATAATATCTTTAAACATAAGTAATGATGAAAAACGTCACGTTTTTCACATTTATATCAAATTTAAGAGATTAATTAATTTATATTAATTAATATATTTCAAATTCAATTAAAAATTTTGTCCCTTTAATTATGCTTATAAATTTAAATCAAGCTTCATAAAAAAATAATAATAATAACTTTTTCTTAATTTTCGATTGCATTACTTAATAAATATTAAAAAAAAACAAATCTTTTTTAGCATCAATTTACAAAAAAGAGATTATTTAAAATTTGAATTATTTTATAAATATAAAATTATATACATTAATTATATTAAGAAGCTTTGCTTAACGAATTTATAATTCCTTGATTCCTGTCTTTTCATTTCTCTTTAATGCTTAGCTAACCATTTCGATTAAGTGTTGTGAGGTTGGCTCCTTTATTTCAGCTGTAGTTGCAAATGACGCATTCTGCAATAACTGCCTCCTCTTATAAAACTAACTAAAAATCCAACCAAATAAACTCTCAAGATATGACAAATCAGCATGATATTCTCCTCCTACAACTTGAAAAACATAGAAATATAAAGTGAAGGCAGGGAAAAGACAATAACATTTGATTCATACATAAATTTTCTATTATTAATCAACATAAAAGGATCATATCTCCTCCCCAAAATAAGTGAAATGATTCACTGAAATCAGAGACTCTGGTGAGAAATCCATCTTTCAAACATAAAAAAACATTCGAATGGCATTATATCTGGTGCTATATGACCACCCCCCTACAACCAGTTCACAAACACCAATGGAATAATTACTCTCAGAACAACATAACATCCGCCATATTATAAATCAAACATCAAGAAAATTCATACCTTCACAGTTGCAAAAGTTAAATTGTTTGAGAACAAAATGGTGTATCTGCAAATTCAAAATCATGAAAAAAAAAAGCTTCAGACTTTTGAGTAAAAGAAGAATCTTCTTTAAAAAATCACAAATTTACAGTCTCCTCACCCTGCAACTTGCCCGCCAGCATGCCACGATCGCCGTGGCTCCAAGACGAAAAAATTGAGAGATTTTACCCACTCTAACGTGCCCAAGATTGGAATCTTCAGATCATGATCACCACTGTTTGAACCACAATATAATTAATAAAACTTAAATCCCCAAGCAAATAAACATCTTTCTTCTTTCTAGCATTTACAGAAAAGAAGGCTGGAAATTTACCTGTAAACTAGAGCTCGAAATCCTCGAGTAATGAGACTATAGTGATAAGGTACAATGCTTGGGACGCTTCGTGTGTAGAAATACGAATCCACATCGAAATTATCAAGGTGAAATCGTTCAATTGTTCCCTTGAAATATATACATTATCACACAATTTCAAACATTTGAATTCATCACAATGATGAAAAATAATTCATTTATAAGTACCTCCTTGACATGGAGGGCCTCTTTCACAAGATGGTGATTCGCCCAGTAATTGGCAAGAAGAGCAGCGGTCTGAACATATTACCATTTCAAATTAGTTTTTGCTAATCTTTTAATAAGTTTAGCAGCTATATTTGTAGCACACAGAATGAAGGGAATGTGCAGAGCTCAACTATGCAAGAAATATCAGGAACTGATGACAATGGTGAGTCGATGAACTCTTCTTGATTCTCCTTGAGAGCCCTCATAGCTGACGTTGGAGCTTCATCAGGACAGGTGGGGTCCAGTATACTATAAATATCAATTTCTGATAGAAACTGCATGCAATTACAGGAAGACAGTTTCAACCCAACTAAAGAAAAGAAAAACACAATTTGTTTAGAAGGAAGACATCGCTCACTCCATTTAATGTCTCAAGATGAGTGGCACAAAGAACGTTTTGAGGCTTTTTGAAGTCTTTTTCTCCAGCACAGTGTGTCATTATCAGCTGAATATAAAGGAAGCTTCAATACTAACGCATGAAAGGAGAAAAAAATAGAAGTGGACAAAACCTGACAATGTTGGATTCAATGTTGCCCTTGTAATGACACCAAGACCCTAATACATATTAAGATCAAGCATAAAGCAGAAAGAGAATTGTTGACCATTAAAATTAAAATTATTAATTAGGTTTTAATTAAACTTCATTAATTAATGATAAATTTCCTGCATATTCCACTTCCGTAATCATTTGCGCGAAGCACTTTGATTTGAAGTATAAAGACACATGATAGGCTCTGTTAACTGCTCGCACTCTCATTCACACCTCTCGGTCTCCTTTTTCCTCCCTGTTTGAAACCCTCTATCTCCACACACTATTCAACATAGAAGCCGTGAAGACTTCGGAAAAGCCTTCGTCTATCCACTATTCCCTTCCAGTTCCACTACTCTCTCTCTCTCTCTCTCTCTCTCTCTCTCTCTCTCTTCTGACAGAGTCATAAGCCCTTTATCGTTCTACTTTTTCATTTCGTTGTTTTGCTTCCTCTGTGTATGCAACGCGAAGCCCGCATGCAAGATTGCCCATATTTAAGGTGTCTATTTAAGCAAATCAATTACATATATTTTCAAAACCATGCATGTAACTACTAATGCAAAATCTGTATTAAATTCATGACTTCAAATTTATACAAGTCTTTAAAGCTTATAAACTTTTAAGATATTTACATATATGAAATTATAAGCTTGTGTGTACTTCAACTAATGTATTGAATGATTAAATACTATGTTCAAGAATGTTGCGAGGGCTAATTGGGTTCTTTGTCTATAGGATAGGGTTATAAGTCCCACCCGACTAGTTCGACCCTCCTTGCAAGAACTGAAGTTGTCGAGTCTAGTAATTTTGAAATAAATGTCAATCATAAAATAAAAATTTACAGGTCCAAATAACATAGTATGGTCCTCCTCCATATAAGGATTGAAGTTGACAAGACTTATATCCTAAAAAGTCTAACTAAAAAATTTAAATGCCGCTTTAAATATAAATTTTTTTAAAATAAACAATTTTTCGATGATGACCGAGTTGATAGAAGATTTCGACCGGAGGGCCTATTTTAAAATTAGGTTTTAAAGTCAATTTTGAATTCAATTATTTCAATCACGGATCCAATTCTCTTAAGTGAGACAGTCAATAGGGTATAAAAATAAACTATCCCCGATAATGACCGTGTTGATCAAAGATTTCAATCAGAGAGATTAGTCTTTTCAATTAAGAATTTCAAAGTAATCAACCATAACATCTAAGTTTAAATCAATCACTAAAGACTTAAAGCAAGGCAAGTAATAAATTTTTCATTAACTTCAGCTCACAATAGTGAATATCATATCAAATGTATCTATATATATTCATAATCGATGAAATTACATGTCAGTAAAGATGTGGCCCGAGTCCTCTGTTGACGTGATTTGCATGCAAATGACACTACAAAGTAGTGGTTACGACCAAAACTCTTGGATCGGATGGTCGACGGGTTTAAGGAAAAATTCCCCCGATAATGGTCGTGTTGATTGAATACTTCAACCAAAAGGGTGAATCTTTTAAATCACAATTTTTAAAGTCATCAACCACATGATTTTGTCGGCAAATAACACCACAAAGTAGCAGTTACGATCAAAGCATTCTGACCGTATGTTTGCCACCAAATATCACTATTATATTATGGTCACGACCGCAACCCGTATATTCCCAACAACTTTCTACAGTTTGAGTTGTGAACCATAAGAGTACAATTAATTAACATAAAATATTCTGTGAGCTAAGGTCGACTTGAATTTGTCCCTTTAGACAAACATCAACCACATACTACAAAGATCTCTAGGATGATGCAATCTGTGAAAGCTATCAAAAATCTTTCAGCCAGGTTGGGTCAACTGTCTCTTATAAGCAGATCAGAGGCCACGACGACTCGAAATGATAGAACCATGAGATATTGATCGAGTTTCTTCTTCATTTCCCTCACCCTCTATTTTAAGCTTCAAGTGATAGATTTTACAACTTAAATCCTAAGTCTGTGGCAATGTATGTTGAATAATCAATTCTCAATTACTAGCCTTAATTGAAAGTGCTCTCCCGCTATTGAGAGAGATGATTAACCATAGAGACCCCAGAACAAAAAAGTTCTCGCTAAATGAGGGTGAAATCTTTAGGCAATGCTTATTTACAATCTAATCCGCCTTATGAAAATTTAACATTCTAAAGTTCTCTCGACAAATGAAAATAATAAATGCAAAGAGCCCCACGAAGCAGTAAAAAATTTCATAGCCCACAGGAAAGTAAAACTTATGTTCAGAAATTCTCTTTATAGAAATCAGTTTAAAGTGGTCCCACTTGATCCCATAAAAGCAATGAGAGAGGGAAGGAACAAGTGAGGAACGGAGGGAGGGAGAGAGCAGATAGACATAATGAAAAAAAGAATTTTGGATAAAAATTTAGTGGAAATTTTGGGGTTATGACATTCAATTTGAGGACATTTGGAGATATGGCTAATTTGGGGCAAAATTGAGGGTTTTGGATTTAGTTTTAAATTGGGCTCAAAGTATGGGTCAATTGGGCTTGGATTTGATTTAAATCAAGTTTGGTCGTGATGAATTTGAGTTTAGAATTGAAATTTGGGAAAGTTTGGATGAAATTGAGGAACATATGGGGTGGATTTGGAGAAATTGGGCCTTTAGGGCAATTTTGGGTTATTGGTCAAAATGGTCAAACTGAGTTTAATTGAAGGGTTCAAATTGGTTTTGGAGTCATTTGAAATGATTTTGAGGGTTTTAGAAAAATTTGGGCCACCAAGGGTATTTTTGTAATTTTGGCAAATTTGGGTATTTTGGGTGAAATTAGGAATTTCTGTCAAATTTGGGGGTTTGGGGGTGTTTTGGTAAATTAGGTAGATTTGAGAGGGCAAAAGACTAAGTTAGGTATTTTGGCAAAATTGAGATTTCAAACACCCCATTTGAGCTATGGTCCAATGGAATCTCCATTTGGGTTCTCTATGTACTGGCCTTGGCTAGACCTATGCCTAAGACTAGTGGGTCTAGAAGACTATCTACATGAGTGTCCCAAAAGATCAAGAGATCAAAGTTAACAAGTTGGGTTTAGGGTTGTAAGTGAGTGAGTGAAAGTGAGAGCAAGTGAGTGAACTAGCTCCAGACCAACATCCAGGGTCAATACTAAGGTCAAACAGTCCTATGGAGACTCTCCTTGAGCTCCCCTGTAGTGCCATAATGACCCCACTTACTAAGTGCTGGAGGTTAGGACAAATATGTGGAATTTCAAGTTAAGTGGAGAAGAGTTTGGAATTTCTAATGGCGAGGGTTTCTTTTCTAGTTTTTTAAGAATAGTCAACAGGAAAGTCTTATGGCTAGACCCCAGGCTACTAAAGAGGAAAGACTAAACTTTAACCAAAAGTGAAGTCAACAGTCGGGATACCACCATACCATGATGAATCCAACATATGTGCATAAGATAACTTTCATGACATATGAAAGACATTATGAGTTCTTAGTGATGTCTTTTGACCTCACCAACTCCTCGACAACATTTCAGTCCCTCATGAATATGATTTTTCAACCTTACCTCCGTAAATTTGTCCTGGTCTTCTTTGGTGACATTATGGTCTACAGTTGTATAGAGACAGAGCACTCGAGACACCTAAGTACAATACTCAAGGCTTTGAGAGAGCATCAATTGTATGTCAACTTGAAGAAATGTTCATTTGCACAGTTACAGGTGGAGTATCAATGACATGTGGTGACCAGAATAAGGGTAGGAGTGGATCAATCCAAGATTGTGGCTATGATGAATTGCCCTTACCAATGATTTTGAAGGAGTTAAGAGGATTTTTGGGTCTCATAGGCTACTAACGGAAGTTCGTGAAAGGATTTGACATGATAGCATGACCACTGACAGGGCAGTCGAAAAAAGATAATTTCAAATGGGGGGAAAGAAACAACACAGATATTTGAATATTTGAAGAGAGCCACGACCAATGTCCTTTTATTAGTACTTCCGGATTTTAATAAACTATTTGTGGTGGAAATAGATGCATCAAAGTACGAGTTGGGAGCAGTGCTCATGCAGAACTAGCGGTGCTTTCTTGCTTCAGTCAGGTTCTTACGGCCAGAGCGAGGCCAAAATCAGTGTATGAACTGCAATTGATAGCGATTGTCTTGGTCATTCAGAAGTTGAGGCCCTATCTGTTGGGACGGCATCTTCTTGTCAAGACAAGTTAAAAGATTTTAAAGTATCTTTTAGAGCAGCAGACGATCACTAACGAGCATTAGCGATGGCTATCCAAGCTATTGGGGCATGATTTCGAGATTCAATATTAATCAGGATTGAAGAATAAGGAAGCCTACACACTATCAAGAAAGGTGGAGGAAGCTCAATTGATGGTCCTATTGATACCCTTGGTCCTAGACTGAGAAGCCTTGAGAAAAGAGATCGAACAGGACAAGGAGCTGAGGAAGATAAGGGTCATATTACTACAAGATTCGAGCTATCATCTAGGATATACATTGAGGATGCAGCAACTGCTCCACTATTCCCGATTCGTGCTACCCAGGGCATCAAAATATATTCTCAGATTATTACAGGAGTTTCATGGCCATGCGATAAAGGGACACTCAAGGTTACAGAATAGCCGTCTAGCGGCAGAGCTTTAGTGGGTACCAGAGCGTATCATAAGCTTGATATAGCTAGTTATGTAACAAATTATTTTGAATGGCAGCTGTCTTTTGGCTGAGTTTAGAATTATGGGTGAGGACCATTGATGATTTCCGCTAGTGAGAACCCGTAGCAGGCTCAATAATTAGACTATTAACTTCCCCTCTAGGCAGCTTAATGAAATGTGGTTATAGCGTGTACAATGTTTGAGTAATGAAGAGCTAGAGTTGGTTCACGAATAATAAATTGATGAGAAGATACAAGCTTAGATGATAACTTGATCAACCTCACCTAAATGAATATAGGTGTACAAGCATGTTGGGAAAAAACAATTTTTCACTCTTTTTTCATGCCGAAAATAAAATTATTATGTTTAAGGTAATTTTGAGGAGGTTTTCAAAGTCTAAAATGGTTTCTAATTAGATCTAACCAAATGATATATTTAACAAAACTTACCAACTTTTAAAATATGTTTAATAATTTCAATCAACTAAACAAGCCCTAAAAAGAGGAAGGAAGCACCTTATAAAGCTCTTTGGAAATAATTCCCAATCCATAAGCATGTGGAGCTTGGGAGCTGGTGTCAACTTTTTCACCCGTTACAGGATTACCAACTAGATAACCCTTGAAAATATCAAAAAAGTTTGAAACTTCAACAAAAGTTTGAAACTTCAACAAATTTGAAACTTCAACAAATTTATTCCAACTAGGCTTATAAGCATTTGTATAAAAAACATATGTAATGATAGTTTTCGAGATACAATACAATTGCATAAAGTAAATACCTTGATATTGATTAGAGGCTTCTGACCACCTTCATTTCCTGTGTTCAACAAAAAGAATAACTGACGCCTTAGCATAAATAAATTATATCATGCTTTTGTTCGTATAGAACTTTTCGGCAAAAATAGTCACCTTCAACAATTTTATGAGCAGTTAGCACAGTTACTTTCCCACCATATGAATCACCACCCATGTAGAAAGGATTTGAGAGGAAACTCGGATGATCAAGGAGCCACTACATTATTTCAATAATGTATATAATGTTGTGAGAGTTATAAATACAACACAGTTCTAAAGCAAAGTTCTGAATGTTAAATTGTAGAGCCTCGTTAATGCCGTCCTATGATAAAACAACTTGCATAGAGACAATGAGTTGATCAATCTTGTGAAATATATAAAATTCAAAAGAATTTATGAGTATTTTTATTAAGAAATTGACATTAATTGTTTATTGTGTGAAGCATATGACATCAATAAGCATTGGAAACCTTCAAAAGTATTTATGAGTATTTTTATTAGGAAATTGACATTAATTGTTTATCATGAGAAGTCTATGACATCAATAAGCGTTAGAGGGATATCTGAATCATGACCCAAACTCTATTTATCAGTGTTGAGAATAGTTGCACAACCTTATTTAGATTATTGAGAGCAAATAAATTAAATTAAAATAAAACCTACAAAACCCATATTTTTTTATGTAGATTCACTCAAGCGTATCATAAGCTTGATATAGCTAGTTATGTAACAAATTATTTTGAATGGCAGCTGTCTTTTGGCTGAGTTTTGAATTAATGGTGAGGACCATTGATGATTTCCGCTAGTGAGAACCCGTAGCAGGCTCAATAATTAGACTATTAACTTCCCCTCTAGGCAGCTTAATGAAATGTGGTTATAGCGTGTACAATGTTTGAGTAATGAAGAGCTAGAGTTGGTTCACGAATAATAAATTGATGAGAAGATACAAGCTTAGATGATAACTTGATCAACCTCACCTAAATGAATATAGGTGTACAAGCATGTTGGGAAAAAACAATTTTTCACTCTTTTTTCATGCGAAAATAAAATTATTATGTTTAGGTCATTTTGAGGAAGTTTTCAAAGTCTGAAATGGTTTCTAATTATATCTAACTAAATGATATATTTAACAAAACTTACCAACTTTTAAAATATGTTTAATAATTTCAATCAACTAAACAAGCCCTAAAAAGAGGAAGGAAGCACCTTATAAAGCTCTTTGGAAATAATTCCCAATCCATAAGCATGTTGAGCCTGGGAGCTGGTGTCAACTTTTTCACCCGTTACAGGATTACCAACTAGATAACCCTTGAAAATATCAAAAAAGTTTGAAACTTCAACAAATTTATTCCAACTAGGCTTATAAGCATTTGTATAAAAAACATATGTAATGATAGTTTTCGAGATACAATACAATTGCATAAAGTAAATACCTTGATATTGATTAGAGGCTTCTGACCACCTTCATTTCCTGTGTTCAACAAAAAGAATAACTGACGCCTTAGCATAAATAAATTATATCATGCTTTTGTTCGTATAGAACTTTTCGGCAAAAATAGTCACCTTCAACAATTTTATGAGCAGTTAGCACAGCTACTTTCCCACCATATGAATCACCACCCATGTAGAAAGGATTTGAGAGGAAACTCGGATGATCAAGGAGCCACTACATTATTTCAATAATGTATATAATGTTGTGAGAGTTATAAATACAACACAGTTCTAAAGCAAAGTTCTGAATGTTAAATTGTAGAGCCTCGTTAATGCCGTCCTATGATAAAACAACTTGCATAGAGACAATGAGT